CTCTCTCTCACTCTCTGCCCCATTTCCAAACCTTCAGAGTTGCAGGCTCTCCTGCTCCCTCCCCAAGGGAAGACAAGCCCTGAGCCTCACACCAGCTCCACACGGCCATAGACTAGGGTTTCTGCCCAGCCCAGCCCAGCCGGCTGCCCACCGTAGACAGCAGTCCAGGGCAGAGGCCGCCCTGCGGGCCTGCGTTCCTTGACCTCCTGCCCCTCACCTGCTTTCTCCAGCCTCCCCCTTCCTAGACCCCAGCCGAGCTGGCGGGAGGGCACCAGTGCCCGCAGGGACTTCTTTCCCCTCACTGAGCAGCTCTGGCCCCGCAGAGGGCCTCAGGGAAGCCCCGCAGGTGGGAAGTGGCCTGCCCCCTGCACCAAAGCTACGTCCGGGTGGATTTCAGCTGAGGGGCTGAGGGTCTCAGAAGCCACTTGGATTTGGGGACAGTGCCGCACAGGCTCTGGCCTGGACTCTGGCTGCCTCAGGTCAGCCTTTCTCTGCCCCTCCCCGGCTGCAAGACCGCGGCTGGCCTTTTGACCCTTGCAGTCCATGTGTCTTCGTCTGAATGATAAAGACCTAAATGTGCCCAGCTCCCAGGGGTAGGGGGACTCCATGGAGCTGACCCTGTCAGGTGTCCCATGTGGTCAGCCTCCAAGGACACCAGAGGACTGTCGCCATGATATAGCAGAGAGCTCAAGGGAAGAGCCTGTCCAGCCGCTCCCTTCCCTGCGAGGCCCCTCAGTGTCCACTCCGTAGCAACTGCTCGGAACGCGTGGGCCAGGAGCTGGCGGGGGTCTCTGATCTCATTTCTCACTGGTGCCTTTCCAAGTCCACCCTTGGTCTCGTTTCCTGTGGCTCCAGCCCTGTCCCCCAGAGGTCAGTGGCTCCCCCAGGGCCCCAGCCACTTTCCGGAAGTCCAGTCCAGCCCCAGGCGCGGCTGGAAGGTGCAGCCAGGTGCCCACAGAGGCACCCGCCTGGCTCAGGCCGCCGGACGTGTCCTGCCCTGTTGCCACCACTGTCCAGGAGTCCCGGGCCCAGCAGAGCTTCTGACCTCTGGCCTCTGGCTTCCACTGGACAGGGGTTCAGACTCGCCCTTCTCTTTCTGAAGTTGACCTCTGGGACCCAAAGGGCCAAGGCCACACCCCTGGCCACTTCCCAGTGCCCCTGGCGGCCCTGGGCGGGTGGCCGGATGCAGGACACCCTCCCTCCGCCGTGCCCTGTGCCTCCTGGGAGCAACGCCCTAAGATCAGTCGTGTGCAGGGGCCCAGCTGCACCGCATCCTGGGGAGCAGGACCCTGTTTCATGGCTCTCAGTGCCAGCTGTGGACGTCAGGAGGACGTTCCTCCACAGTGGACTTAGGACACCTCCAGTGTTTTGGAGGAGGCCAAAGGGATCGGAATCATCCCCGCAGAGTCTCGAGTTCCGACCCGGGTGGCCGGGACAGGCCGTCTGACCGAAGTCGGGGAGTCCAGGTGGCCGTCCGTGGTCCCCCTGTCCTCAGGGGTCAGGTGACGTTTTGAACTAAAGTTCCGGCACCAAGCCCTAGAATTGATGGACGTGACCTCTAGATGTCCCTTACTTCCTGTTCCCAAAACAGTGGTGGACACAGACGCAGGGCCCAGGACACCTGTCCTTCCTGTGACACCGGGAGGACCTCGGGTGTCTGCTGGCCGTGGCCCACCCTGGCCGACTTCCTCCCGGGCAGGGCTGTGAGAGCAGAGTCGGGCCCCTCCTGCACCCTCCCCGGGGGGAGAGGGGCACCCACTGGCCTGGGCTCAGAGGGCCCTGCAGGAACACTGTGCTCTGAACCCCGCCTGCTGCCTGCACCCCGCCCTGTGCATCGCTGTCTCCTCTGTGGGGGACGTTAGATTACACCTTGTCATTGGGAGGCCCGAGTCTGCGGCCACAGCGAGGGGGCGAGGTAGTCGGGGGATTGGCAGGGGGGGCACAAAGGCGGGAGAGAGAGGGTGACACCCCCCAAAACCCTGACAATTAAAGAGATACGTGTCCATGAAGCAGCCTGACGTCCTCCTCACACGCCCACGGCTTGCAAGGCCGCTGTCAGCTGTGCTGGGGTCCGGGACCCTCGGGGCCTGCAAGCCGCTGTCTTCAGGGCAGAGGGCACTGGGGGCGGGAGGGCAGCGGTGCCAGCAGGTGGCGGGGAGGGCCCAGGCCGGCCACAGGCCTCCGACCCCGACAGGTGTAATCTAGGCCCCAGCGACCCTGGAGGCTGCCGTCCCTGGGCACCTCTGGGCGTCCCCCCCTCCCACCCGCTACCCGTTTTGGGGTCTGCAGAAACAGCACAAGTTTCTCTCACCCCAAAACGCGCAGCAGGCCCCGGCGCTGGGCTCGCTGAACCCTGACGTGGCTGACACTGTGGGGTCCCTCCCAGTGCTTCAACCCATCACCTCACTTTTGAGTTTCCTTCCTCCCCTCCTCTGCCCCCCGAACCCACTTTTGTTTTTGAGTTTCTGCCTCTTCCTGCCTGGGGGAGGGTCGTCTCCTGGTTGCTTTGACGGGTTTTGAGTTGTTTTTCCATGTGAATCGGGGTTTGAAGCGACCACCCCCCAACCTGCCACCACCCCACCCCACCCCCGCTGCCCACCCTCCTGACCCCTCGCCCACGCGGGTCCCCCTGCTGGGACCCCCTGGCTACTCGGTGACGAGAAGAGCTGGGACCAGAGCCCGCTGGAGCGTGCTGAGGACCAAGGCTGGTGTGGTCCTTTATAACCCGCCTGGACCCTCCATTCAGGTCGGTAATTGGGGCGGGGGTCCCGCGGGCCTCTCTGTCCCGTGGGCCCCGTGCCCACTGTTCTCTAACCTGCACCTCAAGCTTGCAGCCAGGGGCGGAGAGACGGTGTGGGTGGGTGAGCACCAACCGCGCAGAACACAGCGTCGGCCGTCCTCCTGCTGGCCCAGAGGGTGCCCGCCGGCTTTTCAGAGCCCCAGGGAGGTCCGGGTCGCCTGGTGCCAGTGGGCACGAGATCCTCCGCAAAGTCGTGGCAAACCAGCCTCTTCCTAGAGCCCACCCTCAGAAACAGATGAGGTGGGTGGGCGGGCAAGCAGGCGGGCAGCTCTGGGGTGCCCGAGAGGCCTCCGCAGCTCTTGGCAGACCGCCCAGCGGGTGGCCGCTGGCCGTGTCGGGGAGCGTGGGCACCGAGCCCTGCTGCTGACAGACCGCCTCGGACGGCCTGTGGTCACGGACCCTCTGGGGCAGGTCTTCCACAGGCTCGAGGTGTGACGGCTTGTCCACTCCAAGTGAGCGTGACAGCCCTGCCGGGGAGTTAAGAGACCAGAGTGTGGCCAGGGTCTTTTGGATGAGGTGGCAGCTTGACGTTCAGCCGTTAGATGCTAAAGCTAGATCTCCTGTCCTTGTCCTCACAGTCCCCGTGGGGGAGCCTTTCACTGATGGCCCCTGCACCTTTACGTGAAGGCTGCAGGATACCGAGGTGTTGTGTCTAGGTGACGGGTCCTCTGCCCTCTTTGGTGTTCCCGGTGGGTAAGGACATAAGTTCAAAGACGCTGAGGTGCCAAGAGGGACACCTGGCTGTCCCTCTGGCTGCTCACTGTGGTGAGTCAGGCTCACCCTGTGAGGGAAAGGGACCAGGCAGCCCGACTGAGTGCTGGCACAGGGTTCCCTCGCTGGGTCTGTCACCCCCGGAGCCGTTTCCTCATCTGCAAATAGGGCATAAGGACACTTGCCTCTGGACGTCATCAGGAAGGACAGAGCAAGGACAAGGGCACCCTCAGGGTTTCCATTTTAAAACCAGCCCCCAACTTGCTGGCACAGAGCACCTGTGTCTTCCTTCTGCCGCAGGCCTGGCCGAGCGCCTGCTGTGTGCTGGATCGTCCTGGGGGCCGCCTGATTGCCCCCTTTCCCCCTTTTACAGATGAGGAAATTGAGGCTGGGGACGGGCTCCTTAGCCAGGGAGTGGGCCTCCTTGAAGCCGTGGACTTGGCTGCAGCCTGGGGCTGGGCGTGACAGGGTCTGGGCGCTGCAGGGAGAGGCCCTCGGGCCGGGTTGGTTTGCTCCTTTCTGCACGAGGATCCCACCGTGGCCGCCTTGGACCCCGGGCCCAGGCCCCTGGGTGCCGGGGGCGGCCAGATCCTGTGTTCTGCCGGGGGCGGGGGCCTCCTGGGAAGCCACAGCCCTCCTCCTTTCAGACCCCGATTTTCAGCCCCCATTCCATCCCTGCCCTTCTGGCTTCGGGTGCTGTCTGTCTCCGAGGGCTGCTCTCATTTGTTGGATTTTCTCTTTTTTCTTTTTCCTTTTCTTTTCGCTTTCGCTCTTATCATTTGCCCCCGATTCCGTTCTGGACGTGATGCCGTTTCCTGTCCTGGATTATTGGCTCCCCACGCTCATCCCCATCGTGTTCCGTTTCCATGACAACACAGCCTCGGCATCTCCCACCCACCCCAGCCTCGCTGTGGGTGCCGGCGGCTGGCCTGGTCCACGGGCGGCCGGCCCCTTCCCTCCCCGGCCCTCACTCTCCTCCGTCTGTCTGCATGCCCTCTGTGCCCGCCCGCCCCGCCCTAGCGGCACCCCATCCTGTCTCCAGTGTGACTCTGGACTTTTCGTGGGGCTTCGTTTTCCGAAGGGCTGCCAGCTTCCACAGACCCCGCCACGCCCCGCGGGGCCCTTTCCCGTGCCTCCCGCCTGGGTTCGGGAGCAGGCTGGGGTTCCGGGAGGCCGGGGCTGGGGGACAGCTAGGGCTGCTTCCCTTCACCCTGCGAGACCCTCCTCAGTAGAGCAGGCGAGACCTGAGCCTACAGCCCCAGGAGCCTTCAGCCAGGGCGGGGCCACGGTGGGGGTCCCGGGTCCTCCTGGTGGCCCCCTTTGGCACCACTACAGAGACCCTTCCCACCCGGGCTGGGGACTCACCCAGCGGGCCACGTCCCCTCCCACGGCCCAGCACGGGTCCTTCTGTAGCCAAGCCTTTCAAGTTCAGGGGCCGGGAGGCCGCCCCTTTCCTGCCCCAGAATCCCCCAACTTCCGAAAATGGAGCCCCCGAAATGCATCCTGCCGCCTTCGCCCTCCGCGAGGTCCGCAGGGAAGGTGGCACCCAACACGCCCGGGGCCCAGCCCAGCCCAGCTCGCCCCTGGTTGTCGATGATGATGATCATTATATTTCCCTGTTTATGACTCTACCAGGGCCGTGATGTGACAATGTGACCTGTCACATTGGGTCACATCTGCTAGATTAATCCGCAGCACTGAAGTGGGCCCCTCCCCGCTCTCTCTGCCCACCCTCTGTCCCCGCCTCTCTCCACTCATCTGTCCACGCTCCGGCCTCCTGAGCCTCTCCTGACCCCTCTGCTCCCCCTTCCTTCCTCGCCCCCCCCCACTCTCAACCTACTCTGCATGATGTTTGTGACTTTGAGAGCCGCATCTATCGATGGAAACTTGTCAGACCGACAGAAGCTTTTAGAGGGTTTCTAACCCAAAACCACAAAAATTTCATTAGAGTTTCTCATCTTTCCTTTGGGGAAGGGGGTGGGGTCCCTGTGTCACCAGAAGGGGTCGAGCGTGGGGCCTGAGCTGCCAGGCCCCCTCTGCCTCCGGCTCCTCTCCTGCAGGGCCTTCCCCGTGCCCTGGGAACCAGGGGGTGGCGAGTCAGGTCGGCCCGAGCGCCCCGGCCCAGGGTGTCCCGCCGGAGCCCTGCAGGCTCTGCAGAGTGACCGCCCACTCAGGACGCAGGGCCGGTCTCCGGAGCCACGCTGTCAGCAAAGATGAGAAACGGCTGATAAATTTTTGTGTCCATCTCTGTGCTGTGACAGCCACTCTGGTCTGGAACCTTGTGCTCTGAAGTCCAGCTTCGCGTCTCCACTCCGTTCCGATCTCGTTTGTGAAGTTCCCTCCTTTGGCGTTTTGGTTTTTTGTGTTGGATTTGGTTTTTGATTTTGGCCTTTGTTTCCTTTTCGTTTGGGGGGTTCCTGGGGACAAGAGCCTGTCCGTATTTAATGGCTTCCGCTCTTTCCCATCTCTCCTCCCTTTCTCTCTTTCTTCCTCCTTCCTGCTTCTCTCTCTCCTCTGCCGCCTCCCCTCCCCGGCATCTCGGCTGCCGCCACCCCCCAGTCCGCCGCGTGGCCCCCCGCTTCTCCATCTTGCCCACCAGCCACGAGATCATGCCGGGTGGCAACGTGAACATCACCTGCGTGGCCGTGGGCTCGCCCATGCCCTACGTCAAGTGGATGCAGGGGGCCGAGGACCTGACGCCCGAGGACGACATGCCTGTGGGCCGGAACGTGCTGGAGCTCACGGACGTCAAGGACTCGGCCAACTACACGTGTGTGGCCATGTCCAGCCTGGGCGTCATCGAGGCGGTGGCCCAGATCACAGTGAAGTGTAAGCCGGGCGTGGGGGGGGGGGCCTCTGGGCCGTGCCTCGGTCTCCTCGCTGGGGACCTGGAAGGACAGCTCTCCGAGCTGATGTGTATTGACCAAACCGTCACGCGTCACTTAATGACCGGGACCGTGCAGCGTTGGCCACTGTCCTCCATGTGGGGACTGACATAGACGGCTTACACTGATCACTGGACCCGGCCTCCAAGGCCAGCAGGAGGCCTGGTGGACCCAGGGCTGCATCGTCCTGGCCACCAGGAGGCTGAGGTGGGAGGACGGCAGGTTCCAGGCCAGCTCGGGCCACTTGGCCCCACTGTCTCCAAGTGAGATGGATAGGGCCAGGCATGGCTCAGGGGCAGGGCGCTCACCAATCGTGCACAGGCCCTGGGTCCCATCCCAAGTGCCACAAAAGGAAAAAACGGCCACCATAGACATGTGACGCAGGAGGCTGCCTCTGGAGGCGGGGGACTGCACAGGTCCTCCCGCGAGGTGCTGTGGGGGCAGGAAGTGCCACGTGGTGAGCAGGGAGCCACGGCAGCTGCTCGTCCACAGCTCTGGTGCCGCAGGCTGCCACCGCACCCTGCCACACGCTGAGGCGCGGAGCAGGGGTTTGCTTGTGGAAGCAGAGGCAGGCGGGGACAGGTGGCCGTGGCTACGGGGTCGCCCCTCGTGTCCATGGCTGTGGCTCATTCCGAGCCCACAGAGCCAGGCAGCAGTGACCTAGGGTCATCAGGACGGTCACAGGTCCACAGTGCCCTTCAGACCTCCTCGTGGACTCATCCCCGGGACGTGAGGGAGGAGCATGTCTCGGTGGAAAGACTGGAAACTGAGGAGGCGTGAGCAGGACAAGGGACGGGGTTTGGGGACGCTGGTGCAGCCCGTGCAGACACAGGAGGTCTGGGAGGAAACGGGCTTGTGGCTGTGCAGTTTCCAGCCTGTCCCTCGGGGACCAACCGGCTGCAGCCTGGGGACGAGTCGGCCTCCGCTCGTTGTGAGTAAAGTTTTATGGGCACGTGGTCACACTCACTGGCAGCTCGTCTGGCAGCCTTTGGGTGACAGCTGCAGAGCAGCGTCGGGAAGGCCCCAGGCCCTGCCTGACCCGGGCTGCAGGAAGGCTTTGGTGTCACCTGAGGGTCGGCTGCCGCTGGGCCTGTGGGCTGATGTCTAGGGACAAGTGGGAGAGAGTCAGCTGCGGGTGACACCCAGGCCCCGCTACTGGGACAGAGGCGAAAAGCGGGAGAACCGCGATGTGAAGCGGGCACCGTGCCTCCTGCCAGGCGGAGGAGGGGCACGGGATGAGCATTCCAGAAAGTGGCCAGGTACAGCAGGGGTGAAGTGGACCAGCCCCGTGGGGCAAAGCCGAGTGACCCGGCTGAAGCGAGCAGCGGCCACGGGCGCCGCAGGCAGGGTGGACATGTGTCCTACCCAGCCAGTCCAGTTCTGTTCCTTGGCAGAGCTGGGATGGAGCCCAGGGCCTCAGGGTGGGCAGGCCTCCACCCAAGCCGCATCCCGGCCCTCTGTTTTGAGACAGGGCCTGGCTAGGTTGCCCAGGCTGGCCTTGAACTCGCCCTCCTCCTGCCCCGGCCTCCTGAGTCACTGGGCGACCAGTGTGTGCCCCTGGGCCAGCTGCAACTGTTGAAAAAGGAGAGTTTCAGCTCTGGGCTGGACGGGGCTGCACCCGTCAGCTGGGCCATCGTAGAGCAACGTCAGCAGGACTGGGTCCCGATAGGACTTTATTTAGAAGCCTGGTGCCACCGTAGCCACGCTGGCTGGCTCTTGCTGTAGAGGGGATGAGACGGAGGTTTCCTCCCAGGAAACCAAATTGGGAGGAAGGCAGTTGTGTGCTCAGAGGCTGCGTGGCTCTGGGGCCCTTCAGCAGTGTGCCCAATCTGTCACCTGCCCCCCTCTCGCAGCTCTCCCCAAAGCCCCTGGGACTCCAGTGGTGACGGAGAACACGGCCACCAGCATCACCATCACCTGGGACTCGGGCAACCCAGACCCTGTGTCCTATTATGTCATCGAGTACAAGTCCAAGAGCCAGGACGGGCCATATCAGATTAAGGAGGACATCACCACCACGCGCTACAGCATCGGCGGCCTGAGCCCGAACTCGGAGTATGAGATCTGGGTGTCTGCCGTCAACTCCATCGGCCAGGGCCCACCCAGCGAGTCTGTGGTCACCCGCACGGGCGAGCAGGCCCCGGCCAGTGCGCCGCGCAACGTGCAGGCCCGCATGCTGAGCGCCACCACCATGATCGTGCAGTGGGAGGAGCCGGTGGAGCCCAACGGGCTGATCCGCGGCTACCGCGTCTACTACACCATGGAGCCGGAGCACCCGGTGGGCAACTGGCAGAAGCATAACGTGGACGACAGCCTGCTGACCACCGTGGGCAGCCTGCTGGAGGACGAGACCTACACCGTGCGCGTGCTAGCCTTCACCTCCGTAGGGGATGGGCCCCTCTCGGACCCCATCCAGGTCAAGACGCAGCAGGGAGGTGAGCCGCGGGGCGTCCTGGCTGGGGCCTGGAGGGGGGCCAGGCACGGTGGCCCCATGGCTGATTGCCACAGCCGGCCTGTGGGTCCTGCTCGGTGCTTTGAGATATTTGGGGCCGTCCAGAAAATCAAAAATTTCTGGCTTTCCTTGGAAACTCTGACCGGCCAGCCCACAGGGCTCCAGCTGGACCCCCAGGCGGCTCCCAGGGCTGAGATCCGGGCGGTGATGCCATGGCCTCCGGCTGTCATTAACTCCCAGGGACGCGTCAGCGGCTGAGTTTGGGGACCCCCTCTGCCACTGTTATTGTAGGGACTGATTATGTGTGTTTCCAGTTAATAAATGAAGGGGCCTCAACCCCAGGCTCAGATGGGCCTCCCACCCGCTGCGGTGGGAGGACTCGCGGCTGCTTAGTCGTGGGCCCAGGTCTCGTGGGTCGCCGACCCTTCTCTTGGGGTTCAGGCTTTTGAAACCAAAAATCCAGGAAACTCGGGCGCCTGCGGCATGATGGGAACGCAGTCTCCAGTGCACACTTGCCGCCTTCCAACCTCTCACTTAATTTGTCGGGATCAGGAAGAGGCCAGGAGAGGGACCGGGTGGAAGTGGACAGCCGAGGGGAGGTGGGGTTGCAGAGAGTCCTGGGCGCCTCTGCCTGGGAGAAGGGCACCCGCCGCGGCGGGGAGGCGGTGTGCAGCGCCCCCACGCTGCCGTGCCCATCTCCGCTCGTTGCCCTTTCCCCAGTCCCTGGCCAGCCCATGAACTTGCGGGCCGAGGCCAAGTCCGAGACCAGCATCGGGCTCTCCTGGAGCCCCCCGCGGCAGGAGAGCATCATCAAGTATGAGCTGCTCTTCCGGGAGGGCGACCGTGGCCGCGAGGTACCCTTCGGGC